GTCTTGAGTCACAACTCCATTTAACTCACAATCAGCAAAATTCACATCCTTCGAAGAGGCCGCAACCAACGAGGAAGAATCATTCTTAGAGTTAGAGTTAAAAACGACCACACCACTCATCGGTTTAGCCATAGTGGCCGATATAATCATACCAGAAGTCAGGTCAAGAAGTTCAACTAAATTTTCCACAATATCAGCAGCAACTACATTTCCATTCCAAACTATACTGGCAATAGGATTACAATCAAGATTAGCTACAGGATTATCCTTAAAACAACTAATAGGATCTAGCACAATAACCAAATCGCTAACAGCATGAGAATGAACCACAGAGACCACACCAGGCTGAACACCAACAAACCCAAGAGCAACAGGACCCTCAGAGAAAGACATAGGTGCAACAAGCTCACAACCCCCTTACCTAACGAACCTTTCTCCACAAAAGGAGAAACCTCCAAAATTGGTCAGATATCGGGCATAGAGGAAATAGGGGGAGAGAAAGATAGAGAAGAAGTAGAACACGCACCCTTCAGGTGACCAAGGCGTTTGCAGGACACATAAAATTCAGGAAAAACTTTCATTTGCACTTGTTGGATGTACCCCGAAATCTCAAGCCCAAGCCAAATTTGCGAAGGGTAGCTTTTAGAAATGTCTAACTCCACCATAACACGTGTTAGGGAAGGTCAAGAACCAACAGAGGAGGCGTTATCAACCTTTAAAGGCTTCCCGAACATCGAACCCAAGGCATGGAGGATCCGACGAGAGAACAGATGAGGTCTAAGGTTTGCAAATGAGATCCAAATCGAAATGACACGGGATTCAAAACCAACATCCAGTAACGGAGACCATTTAGATAGTTTCATGAAGCAGTTATACACTAAATAGGAACGATGACAAAACACTCTACTGTAATCTAGATCATTAGACAGTTTAATTAGGATATGCGTCTGATCAAAAATCGTGCAGAAAACTCATAATGCAGCTTAAGCAAAAAGAAAATTTTTTGAATCGAGTCCAGAGACGGACGCTTAGTTGGGAAAAAACCTACTAAGGCAAATTGAAAAGGCTTGGAAAGAGCAGCAATTTCCTCTTCTGAAATCCACAGCGAGGGTAAACCGCGAAATGCCACTTGACGAAGCTCAGGAAAAGAAGCAGAGGACGAGGAGCCAGAAAGAGCTTCAACAAAAGATCACGATTTAAACGCGCTATCCAAAAAATCTGGATCACCCACCTGTCTAACCACAATTCCGGCAAAAAATGGCCGGAGGAGGAAAACGAAGCAGCCAAAACAGAAAAACTAAACGAAAAGAAAAAACAGAGAAGAAGGAGAGAGCTTCCCTGCAGCATCCAGCAAAAAACTCAAAAGATTCGGCGGCGGAGGGCCACAAAATCGTACTAGAGAAGGAGCTAGGGCAAAGCCTCAAAATTCCTTAATTTACCCCACGTAATACCCTCAAAATTCCTTAATTTACTGTTGGGAGTCATAAGAAGTTGGAAACTTATTGGGAGTTATAAGGAGTCAATGTGATTATTCCATGTTAGTGATTGAGAGTTGTAGGGAGTTTACTAATAGGGAGTCATAAGGAGGGACTGATATGAGAGTCATAAGTGCAAAAGAAAGATACAATATATCCTCATCTGAATATATGGTGTAGAGGATATTATTACTAATTACTATTATTGATACTATTATTGAATGTGTTGCTACTTATTGTTATTGATTTTGCGTATTTTACTATTAATGATACCATTATTGATTACTATTAATGTTATTATAGTGATGATGTTATTGGTAGACATATATGAAAAATTGAATGATAAGATTGGTTGAAACTGATTAAAACTGATTGAATGATAAGGACAAACTGGTTGATAATTTCATATGATTAACAAGCATAGATAACAAATATCAATGCATAGTTTTTTTATACAATTTATAGCATATTATTTCTCTGGCTTACATTTATTCCAATTATAAGAGTTTAGTTACTTAATGGGTTTTATGCTCATTATGTGGTTTTACATGTTTATTGGTAAATTAAAGGACCATATGATATGAGGTTCTTGGCAACATGTATAATTTTTCTTTCGACACTATTAGTTTATTTTATAGTCATGATGTATGCAGTAATAGACTGATCCTTTCAAATCATGACTATTGTGTACAAGTTTTGGGCTTGTAATTATTGCACATATAGATGAATATATATGCTTTTATTTTTTGTGTTTATCTGAATTTGAAGGCTCTGGTTAAATGTGATTGTTTGGTTAGAAAGAAGTAAGCAATTCTTTCAAATTTCGATTTTAGTGTGTGACACCTAACCTCCAAAATTTCATTTCATGTAAAAAGTGGGTCTATATTTATAGATTTTGAGAGTGACATGCTCCATAAATATGGAGAAGATCCACGATAAATTCGGAGTGCTCCATCAGATGGCCCGTATTGATTCCTTTTGTCCTAGAGAATTCATTCAGCATTTAAGTGTCTTAATGATGTTGTAATTAAGTAATCTTAGGCTTGTTGAATTTATCTCATTGAGCTGCTCGATTCAACTATAAGTATGTTATATTTATATATCATTTAGGGATTCAATTAATGCACTAAAACTTTGAATTATGCTTTAAGCCTTTGATTTGAGCCCATCAAGGCTCGGACTGGACTGATTTTGATGTTGTTGGATTCGTCTCATTAATACATTCAATTTAACTTTAAGTTTTTTGAAATTAGAATTTGAATGACCCCAAATTTAATTTTGAAAGCTTTCAATTTAAATATACATCAAAATTCGAGCCCGAATTTTTGGTGTGACATATCAAACCGAATTAAAACTACCCTACCCCACTTCCCATGCCTCCATGACAATATAGAAACTAAACAAATCCTGACAAATACATCCATTCCCTCGAGTCTCTAGTCTCCTTTATATCTTTTTATTTTGATTAAGAAAGTTGCCAAGTCAATACCCATAAAGACTTGACCTGGTAAGATTTTGTCCTCTTTTTTCTAGTGGAAGGAAGCTGCTTTTACTTGGTCCATTGGTTGTCTTTTTCATAACAAAAACAATTCAGAACATCTAACTATAAAGAAGTAATTAGTTTTGAATGATAGCTCTTATTTGCAATCCAATTTATTAAGAAAAGTATGATATTATTCTATTCATATAGGATTTAAAATCCATGTATATATTTAATAAATATTTAAAATCCATTTTAGATGATTATAAATTTTTAATAAAATGATTGTAAAATTGCTATGATGAAAAAAATATATATATATTTTTAACTACTGCTTAGTAAAAAAAATTTCAAAAGCATTAATAACCAAATAAATATTTCAATTGTCTCAAACAAAGCCTTGAACCGCTTTCTTCATGCTTCTTAAAGCTATTTTTTTATAAAAATTTTAATTTTTATATTAAAAAGTTGTTTTAAAAAGCAGTAAAAAAATCGTCTCAAACAAAATCTTAATTGATATTTCTATTACATATTTTTCAAATTAAAAAAAACTATATGATTTCTTTCTTATTATCACTGAGCCAAAAAAATAAATGAACTCAATTTGATAGTATTGTTGAATTTGAATATGTGTTCAAGTTCATACGCATTTAAATATTACATTAGCTAAATTTTTTTTGTTTTTATGACGGATCTATGGCTTCTCTGGCTGCTATATTATAATGGGTAAAAATAGATCCGTTGCAATGGAAGCCAGGCTGCATTGAAAGTCTCCTTTTTCTTTAAAAAAACTGGCGTGCTGGCGCCCTCTCTATTATAAGCAAGTAAAAGTTAACTTCTACCGTTGCGTCTTCCACATTCTCTCTCTCTCTCTCTCTCTCTCTCTCTCTCTCTCTCTCTCTCTCTACAATGCACACAGAAACAATGGCAAATGGCCTGACTGAGATCGACATGGCTGCGGCATGGCGACTGGTTCAGCTGCGCATTGCTGGAGGAGATGACAGAGTAGGAGTCATGAAAACGAAGAAGGTGCCTCCAAAGAGATACAGAGAAGAAGAAATAGGAGAAGAAAGAGTGGAACCGGCAAGGAAAAGGCAAAGGTTCCTGTCTGTTACCTACCTATATGAAATTACCAAACCCACAAAAGTTATGTAAAAGCCCTGTCTTTATATACTCAATGTAATCAACAATCCTATTATTGATTATATGAAGATTTTTTATTTAAAGATTCAATCATTTCATTAGCATGTTCGCAGACTATAGAAAAATTGTTCATTGCTGACAGATTTTTCCGGCGGCTTCTAGATGTACTATTCTCCAATAGCTTCCTTGAATATTTTTGGCAGATTACGACAAAATATGTCAGGGTTATTTTTCTGCCGATTTTCCGGCACCTGTCCGACAGCTTTTTGACAGCTTTTCCTACGGATTGTAATTATTATATTTTAAATAAAAAATGTGGTCATTTTGACATTTTTATCCTTCTAAAAAACTGGTTGCGTCTTTAATGTATTTTTCATACTCACTTCGAATCTCATGGCAACCGGGCAAGAGGGTAGCATCCGCAGGCAAGCAACGGGTATCGCTGGAGGGCAGTAGGGCAATGTACGCGGGCAAGCATTGGGTAGCGCGGGAAGCCAACCGAGATGGCGAACAAGGCGGGTAGCACGAGCGGGCAACAGTCAACACGTGAGGCAACCGAGTTGGCAGGCAACATCGAATGGTAGCACCTACGTTCGAGCAGCCACATGGGCAATTGGCAACCTGTGTTGTCAGTCTGGCAGGCAACACCTATATATTTTTTAATTTCCGACTACATTCCATTGGAAAGCCGCATGAAAAAAAATCCGCTAGAAATAAACCGCAAGTTCTCTTTTCCTACATGACTTTTACTAGCGAAAAAATTTATGTCAGAAAGCCAATGACAAACTTAATTACCGTATCTATTTCTGTAAGAAAATCTACCAAAAATCCACCAATAATGATTGATTTTCCCGTAGTGAAAGCACTACTTGGGATATTAATAATTATCATACAAGCGACAGTTCTTCACATTAATTAGCACATAAGTGTACAGATTCTCTTCGAAGCTTAAGACCTAACAGAATAGCTGATAAAAAAATCATGCACATAGAAAGGATAAAAATAAAGGTTATTCATTCATTCGATTGGTGACAGTTTGCAGAGGTCGTCTGATAGAGCCGGCCGAGGCAGAATTCCTAATTTTGCGCTTGGAAGAGAACTTTTTCTTTGTATTTTGTGTGTTGTTCTTGTCCCTTATAAGACCTACAGAAGAGATCCCAGCAGGATGAGCTGTTGGTGTATTAAGAATGTTGGACTTGGCGAACTTGCGGCTGGAGATACAGAAGTTAACTGACTTCTGGCTGATCTCCTCAAGTGGATCTATAGAAAGAGATGACAAAAATTACTTCTTAATAGAAGGAAACAAACTGTCAAGGAACATGGCTCATAAAGACTAAAGTTAGACTAGATATATCACTTACCGTTCTCAATTAACAGTTTAAGGTTTCGTTTGGGACAGTTTTTTTCGTGCTTCTAAAAATAACTTTTTAGTGCAAAAATTAAAAATTTTGGTTTTAAGAAGCAGTAAAAAAGCTGTCCCAAATGAAGCCTAAGTTTATAATCAATACTTTTACACGAACACGTTTTCGAACTGTTCGATTTGGATCTAAACCAATTCTTATGCACCTGTGTAACACTGAAGAAGTCAAGACATGGAAATTACCTTTGACTTCAGATGGAATAGGATGAACAAGGGTATCAGCTCCATGTATAGAACCGTCCTGGGATTCATAGAGGCATTCAGTTCCAAAATGTTTGGTATCTCTGGCTGGGCTGTTAGTTATATTGCTGTTTAATTTGGCCTTCTTCCAAATGCAACTAGTACTCAAATTTCGCTCATCTTCCAAGTCAATACTACTTCGCTTACTGGGAGAAAGAAATTTTATCTTTGCCAAGACATCTCCAGGCCTAGTTGTAGCACCTTGATCAAATTCCCTGATAGCGATGTCATCACCTTTAATATTGTTTGCCACACAGCTTTCCATGCCTTTCGAAAATTCGAGCTTTTCTTCTAAAGCATCTGGCAAACTTGTTATGGCAACTTCAGGTGATTCTGTCTTTAATGCATCCATAGTATGTGTAGCAAGAGCTTCTTTGATGATAACAGAAGTCTGACCATCTAAAGCTTCAGATAAACCATGATTTCTAAAATGCTTGGTATCTTTCACAGGACTGTTAGTTATGCTGTTATGTAGTTTGGACTTCACTGGACTGCAGCTGGCACTCGAATTTCTCTCACTTACTAAATCAATACGACTTTGCTTGCTTGGAGAAACAACATCAATCTTCTCCAAGCCTTCACTGAGCTTTGATGTAGCACCCTGAGCATTCTCTAAGAAATCCCTAACACTGACATCACCACCTTGACCAGGTTTTGCCTCGGCATGCCCATTATAACTACGATCACTTTCATAAGAAGAAGCGGCATTAATATTGCTTGCCTCACATTTTTCCAAGGATTTCCACAATTCTAAATTTCCTTCTAAAGCATCTGACAAAGTTGTTTTGGCAACTTTGTCATGGGATTCCATCCTTAATATATCCACTGTATGTTTAGCATATGCTTGTTTATTTGGAAGAGAACTGTGAAGAACTGAAGTTTCAGCAAGGCATTTAGTTCCAAAAGGGTTGACATATATTGCAGGACAGTTAGTTATACTGTTATTTACTTTGCTCTTTGAAATGCAACTGCCAATAGAACTTTCAGCTTCTAATTCAAAAGTACTTGGCTTGCCTGGAGAAACATAATTATTGTCCACCATGACTTGTCCCGGTTTAGCTGTAACACCCTGAACAGTCTCTAAGAACTTTTTAACATCCACATCACCATCTGGACAAGTTACCTCTTCAGAAGGCCTAATATAAAAATTACATTCGTAAGGAGAAGCCTCTTCAGTGTAGTTTCCCTCACAACTTTCCATGCCCTTCCACAATTCTGGGTTTTCATCTAAGGTTTCATAGAGGCATTCAGTTCCAAAATGTTTGGTATCTCTGGCTGGGCCGTTAGTTATATTGCTGTTTAATTTGGCCTTCTTCCAAATGCAACTGGTACTCAAATTTCGCTCATCTTCCAAGTCAATACTACTTCGCTTACTGGGAGAAAGAAATTTTATCTTCGCCAAGACATCTCCAGGCCTAGTTGTAGCACCATCATCAAATTTCCTGATAGCGATGTCATCACCTTTAATATTGTTTGCCACACAGCTTTCCATGCCTTTCGAAAATTCAAGCTTTTCTTCTAAAGCATCTGGCAAACTTGTTATGCCAACTTCAGGTGATTCCGTCTTTAATACATCTACAGTAGGTGTAGCAAGAGCTTCTTTGATTATAAGAGAAGTCTGACCATCTAAAGCTTCAGATAAACAATGATTTCTGAAATGCTTGGTATCTTTCGCAGGACTGTTAGTTATGTTGTTATGTAGTTTGTACTTCACTGGACTGCAGCTGGCAGTAGAATTTTTCTCACTTACGAAAGCAATACGACTTTGCTTGCTTGGAGAAACAACATCAATCTTCTCCAAGGCTTCACTGGGCTTTGATGTAGCACCCTGAGCATTCTCTAAGAAATCCCTAACATTGATATCGCCACCTTGACAGGGTTCTGCCTCGGCATGCCCATTATAACTACAATCACTTTCATAAGAAGAAGCGGCATTAGTATTGTTTGCCTCACATTTTTCCGAGCATTTCCACAATTCTAGATTTCCTTCTAAAGCATCTGGCAAAGTTGTTTTGGCAACTTTGTCATGGGATTCCATCTTTAGTATATCCACTGCATGTTTAACATATGCTTTTTTATTTGGAAGAGAACTGTGAACAATTGAAGTTTCAGAAAGGCATTTAGTTCCAAAAGGGTTGACATATATTGCAGGGCTCTTTGAAATGGAACTGGCAATAGAACTTTCAGCTTCTAAGTCAAAACTACTTAGCTTGCCCGGAGAAACAAAATTATTGTCTAACAAGACTTCTCCCAGTTTAGCTGTAACAGCCTCAACATTCTCTAAGAACTCTTTAACATCCACATCACCATCTGGAAAAGGTCCCTCTTTACTAGGCCTAATATTAAAATTATATTCATAAGGAGATGCATCATCAGTGTCGTTTCCCTCACAATTTTTCATGCCCTTCCACAATTCTGGGTTTCCATTTAAAGCAAGTGGTGAACTTGTAGTGGCAACTTGGTCAAATTTATTCGGGATATTTACTTCAGAATTTGAACCATCCTGTTCACAATCTTCATGCACGGGATCAGTATAGGTAAAGGCATTGAGGCTTTCTTGTTCACGGGCAGAAAACGGTTCTTCCGATGTCATTTCTTTCTTTCTGGTAGGGAGAGAATCTTCACAAGATATTTCTTCCTCACGTGGAAGAGATGAATCTGCAGATGCCAAATTTTAAATTAGTAATGTAATTCAAAAGTTAACAGAATACAAAATATAGAGATAATAAAACAAATGGAACAAGATACTTAATTATGTCAACAAGTGTCTTTACAGAGCTAACCTGTTATAAGTGGAGCAATTTCTCCTCGGAGGACTTTCTTCAGACAGAACAATTTCTCCATTAAATTATCAACACGTTTACTTAATCCAAATGGTGCAATTTCTTCCACTTTTGCTGGAGGACTAACTGCAAAATTTTTGCCCTTTATGTCTTCATCATAACCAGTTGCTTGGCGTTTTTCAGAACCCCGTAATTTTTCTCCATCATGCTTCAACTTAGCTTGAGTTATCTGAACATTGCCTTCCAATTTAAAAGTTCCTCCACCTTTGATCTGATGTTCTTCTCGAAAAACTACAGATTCAAAAGGTGCAAAAAACTGTCCAGAATTACTCTCAGCTAATCTTGGGCTGTCAGAGAATTTTTTAAAACTCTCGAATTCTGTGAATTTTCAAGGTAGTCTTCAATAAATTTGAAAAATCATCTAGCATTCAAGTGTATGTTGTGAATTAAGTCTAAATAAGAGTGTTAGGCTTCATTTGGGATGGCTTTTTTACTGCTTCTTAAAAGCAGCTTTCTAGTACAAATTTAAATGTTTTGTACTAAAAAGCTATTTTAAGAAGCAGTAAAAAGCCAACCCAAACCAAACCTTGGAGATATTAGTAAGGGAAATAATCTCATAAAGACTTCACATACGTGATATAGGACAAGGAAATATTTACCTATAAAGTTAGTCGTATTTTTCTTTTCATCACTTCCATTGGGATATAAATTGCTTCCATTTTCTTTAACTTTATCATCCTCAGTTTCTATGGGTTCTCCATGACTTGGCTTTGTTTTGAGGAATTTGACATCTTCCATCTCCTCAGCGTTTAGAAGAGCCTTGCAGTCGCTGAGCATCTTTCGATTAGGGCTGGCAGAACGATTTTCACTAATATCTCTTTCTTTGATACCTTCAGCATCCATTGCATCAAACTCCGAGCAGGCAAGATGATTACAAACTATTGTAGAAACATCAGTAATATGTGAAACAATTAGGTTCTGTGGATCAATTATCTCTTCTCTTGAACTTTGTGAGACTTCTGATCCTTGTTCCACTTCAAATACTTGGCATGAATCAATTTTTTCTTCTGCCAGTGTATTCCTGGTGGCTTCCAAATTCCTGGAAACTATGAGCTCCTGCAGCTCTAGTTTGTTGCGCATATCTGATGAATCAGTCTCGACCTTCATAGTCCGAGTTATTGCAGCTGCATTGACCGCTAAAACACATCAATAAATAATAAACGTAGTGCAAAATTGCAAATGCATTATATCTGGCTCCAGTTCTGTTTTCTAAATCAAATCTATAACATCACGAGAATTTAATTTTAGATGATTAGAAGCATTATTGAGAATGGAACCAATTAGCATAACCATGGTCAAATGATAAAATTCAGCAAATAAGATGCATCGTATGTACCTTCTATATAGAGAGAGTGGTACATTCTTATAAATGTCCAAACTGCATTTAGCATTATAAGGATATTCTTGTAAAAAATAAAGAAAACATCATAAGGGCAAGCTCTTTTTTTTTTCTATTTTTTTTTTTTTTTTTAAAAAAAAAAAAAAATTTTTTTTAATTAATGCTGGTCCTCTTTTGCTCCAACATAGTTTCAACCTCTACATTTACAAAAGACAAAAAACTAACGCAGTTATTTCAGTCATTAAAATGGTAGAACCTTCTACATTAAGAACACCAGAAAACGGTAGTAATAATGTATATTATTATAACAGCCCAAACTCTCCATCATCAAGAGATTGCACTCTTAGACCTGATGGCCTCACCATTTTATCTCATTGGTGTAACTTCTCAGAAGATCACTCATCCCAAGATTGCTCCCGCACGAGCACGATTAATTTCAAAGTTTCTTAATGAATTTTCAACCATTATATCAAAAGTCATCTCAATGTTTAACAATTTAGCTTTATTTTTTATATTTTCATAAGGGTTTTCAAAATCTCCCCCACTTAGATAACTGAAGTCCTCACCAATTTTCTTAACCCATAATCATCCACTAGGCAAATAGGAAGACTTAGTTTTGTTGACCTCTAACCACTGACCCACGACCTCCTCAAATCAACATAATGGTTAACTCCCTAAACTAAACAACCCGCTCACGTGACTACCTTATACGGCATAAAAAACAAACATTCAAATGCACAAAAATACTGATAACAACACTGAGCAATGAATGCTACAACACCTTTATGGTTGACAACCACTTAGTGGAAAGCAAATAGATATACCACTTAGCAACCTGAAGAGAGCGACATAGAGTAAATATAAGCTTTTAGGTGTTGTTGTAGAAGACCCGTCGAATATCCCAAAAATGCCCCCCCCACACACATACACTGTACTATGTATACAAACAAACACAACGAAAATGCACATGCAATTATAAACTCGCATGGGCCACGGCGAGAGTGTTACGGCTACACACATGATGTCTAGAGATGTTGCGGATCAGTAAATGAAGTCAAGTTCGAACCAAATCCTTCTACATTGTTAGTAGAAGTCGACACGACTCAAACTATTAAACAAATATATGATCATGCCATTGATTGAGATATTTTTTTAAAATATTCATATTACGTTGTTAGACCGGTCCAGCCGGTCCGCACGGGACCGGCGATTTGCAAAACGGCGGGATCTCCGCCTCCTGCGGAGATCGAGCGGGCCGTCCGCCCCATTAGAGCATTTTAGGAAGTTTTTTTTTTTTTTTCTGGCTATCTCCTCATGAGTGGAGTCTAATAAGATAAGAAGAATTGACCAAAAATTACTTCTTAATAGAACGGAGAACAAAAATGCACAGGTGAACATGCTCATAAGAACTGAAAGTTTAAATAGATATATTACGTTACCGGTGTCTCAAGTAACTAGTTTAATGCGTTTCGTGTTGGGACAGTGTTTTTTCGTGGCTTCTAAAAAATAGCTTTTAGGGTAACAAAAATTAAGAAAATTGTTGGTTTAAAGGAGTAAAAAAAGCTGTCCCAAATTGAAGGCCTGAAGTTGTATATATCGAATACTTTTAGCAGCGAACACTGTTTTCGAACTGGTTCGAGCTTGGATCTAAAGCCAATTCTTATTGCACCTGTTGTACACATCTACGAGTCAAGGCATGGAACTACCCTTTGACTTCAGTATGGAATAGCGGATGACATAAGTGGATCAGTCCAGTAGTTAGAACCGTCCCTGGGAATTCATAGGACGGCATTCAGTTCCAAAAGTGTTTGGTATCTCGGTCTGGCTGTTAGGTTTATATTGGTGTTTAAATTTGGCCTTTCCCAAATGCAACTAGTACTCAAAGCTATTTCGCTCAAATCTCCAAGTCAATACTAGCTTCGCATTGACGGGAGAAAGAAATTATTGTTTGCCATAGACATTCTCCAGATGCCCTAATTTGAGCATCTCCTTGGATCACTAATTCCCCTGAATAGCGATGTCATGCACCTTTAATTATGTTTGCCACATGTGCAGCTTCCATGGCGCTTGGTCGAAAATTAGCGACGGTTTTTCTTCTAAAGCTTATTCTGGTCATAACTTTGTTATGGCAACTCAAGGTGATTTCTGTGTCGTTTAATGGCATGCCATTTATGTTAAATGGTTGTAGGCAAGAGGCTTCTTTGATGATAAACAGAAGTCTGGACTCATCTATAAGCTTCCAGATAAAACATGGATTCTAAAATGGCTTGGTAGAATCGAGTTTCACAGGAACTTTAGTTAGTGCTGTTTCATGCTAGTTTTGGACCTTGCACTGGACTGGTCAGCTGGCAACTCGGGAATTATCTCACTTACCTAATTCAATAGCGTACTTTGCTTGCTTTGTGAGAAACAAACATCAATTCTTCTCCAAAGGCTTCACTGGAGCTTTGATTGTGCCATCCCTGGAGCGTTCTCTATAGAATGCCTAACAACTGACATCACCAACCTTGACGGTTTTCCTCGGGCATGCCCATTATACTACATCACTTGTCAGTAAGAAGAAGGCGGACGACTTTAAGTAATTGGCTTTGCCTCACAATGTTTCCCAAGTATTTGCCACAATTCTAAATTTCCTTGCAGAAGCATTCTGACAAGTTGTTTTGGGCAACCTGTCATTGGATTTCCAATCCTTAAATAGTAGGTCCACTGTATTTAGTCATATGCTGTTTGATGTTGGAAGAGAACTGTGAAGAACTGAAGGTTCAGCAAGTTGCTTATGTTTCCCAAAGGTTGAAACATGAATAGTTTGCATGGACAGTTAGTTATATCGTGTATGTGAACTGTTTCTCTTGAAATGCAACTGCCAATAGAACGTTCAGTCCGTAATGTTCAAAAAGTAGCTTGGCTTGCCTTGGAGTAACATGCAATTATTGTGTCCACTACAATGACTTGTCCCGGGTGTAGGCTGTGAGACACCGCTTGAACAGTCTCTAAGATCTTTTTAACATCCTACAGTCATCCATCTGGACGAGTTGACCTTCTTGCAGAGAGGCCTAATATTACAATCACATCGTAGGAGAACCTCTTCAGTGTTTTCCCTCACAACTGTTCCATGCCCTTAGCACAAATTCTGGGTTTTTCGATCCTAAGCGTTTGCATCGTAGAGGCATTTCTAGTTCATAAATGTTTGTATCTGGTGGGAAACCGGTTAGTTATATTTGCTGTTCATTTGGCCTTTTCTTCCAAATGCCAAATACTGTAACTTCGAATTCGCTTGTCCAATGCTTGCCCAGTAGTCAATACTACTTTGTGTTATCTGGGAGAGAAGTAAATTTTTATTCGCCAAGACATTCGTCCAGGCCTTAGGTGGAAGCACCATTCATCAAATTTCCTGGATAGCGATGTCATCTACCTTATAATATTGTTTCTCACACAGCTTCCATGCCTTTCGAAAATTGCAAGCTTTCTCTAAAGCGATCGTCAAACTTGTATATGCGCAAACTTCAGGGTGATTGCCGGTCTTTTAATACATCAGGCAGGTAGGTGTAGCAAGAGCTTCTTTGATTATAGAGAGAATCTGACCATTCTAAAGCCTTCAGATTATAACAATGATCTGAAAATGCTTGGTAATCTTTCGCATGACGTTGTTGTATGTTGTTATGTAGTTTGTACTTCACATGACTGCAAGCTGGTCAGTTAATTGAATTCTTCTCACTTATCGAAAGCAATTACCACTTTGCTTCGCTGAGAAGAACAGAACATCAAATTCTCTCCAAGGGCTCACTGGGCCTTTGATGTTACCCTCTGAGCAATTCCTCTACGAGAAATTCTCTAACATTGATATCGCCACCTTGTTGAAAGGGTTGCTGCGTCTCGGCCATGCCGCCAGTGTATGTATCACTAAGTAGCTTTCGATATAGAAGTAATGCCATTTAGAGTATGTTTCCGTCACATTTTTTCCCGAGCATTTCACAATATTCTAGATTTCCTTCATAAAGCATCTGGCAAAGTTGTTTTGGCCAACTTGTCATGGGATGCCCATCTTTAGTATATCCACGTGCAATGGTTATACATTGCCTTTTTTTATTTGGAAAGAGAACTGTGAGACAATTAATGTTTCCAGGAAATGTGCATTTAGTTCCAAGAGGTTGACAGTAGTATGTGCAGGGCTTTGAAATGGAACTGGCAATAGAAACTTTCAGCTTCTATAGGTCAAACTACTTAGTCTGGCCCGGAGAACAATAATTATGTCTATACAAGACTGTCTCCAGTGTTAAAGCTGTAATCAGCGCTCAACATTCTCTAAGAACTCTTTACATCCGACATCACATCTGGAAAAGGTCCCTCTTTAGTAGGCCTAATATTAGTAAATTATATTTCATAAGGAGATAGCCTCATCCAAGTGCGTTTCCCTCAAAATTTCATGCCCTTCAACATATTCGTTGGGTTTCCATTTTTAAAGCAGAGTGGTGAACTGTAGGGCATACTGGTCAATTTATTCGGGGATATTTACTTCAGAATTGAAATCCTGTCACAAGTCTTCATGCAAGCGGATCAGTAATAGGTAAAGGCATTGAGGCTTTCTGTGTTCACGGGCAGAAAAACGGTTCTGTTCCGATGTTCAATTTTTTTCTTTCTGGTATGGGAAGAGAGAACTTCACAAGATATTTCTCCTTCACGGGGAAGAGTATGAAATCTGCAGATGGCCAAATTTTTTATAATAGTAATGTAAATTCATATAAGTTATCTAGAATACAATATATTAGAAGATTAATAAAACATAAT